AGTAATACTTTACATTATCTATGTTACTGTTGTTGGATAACTGTAGTTTAATTTTTTCTTGCACCCCTGTTCATCTCAATGGTTTTATTCAGTAAGCATTATTTCTTTTGATTTAAAAACCTATAATAATTATCGTATTTAACTAATATTATTATAAATTATTGAATTACAGATGATGATTTACCTATTTTCATACTTTATACATTTATTATTGGTACCTCATTATCTATATTTTTCATTCTTACTACGAGTGATGATCAACCCCCAAAGTTTTATTCAATATTAAGCTTTATGAGATTTGGTGTAGCGATTGTATGAATTTATCTCATAGCTAACGAAGTTGTTGATGTGTTACAGATAGGCACTGCGTCATAAAATAACATATAAACCTAAGTATAATGACTTGATTCTATATTTTTTGACCTAGGCTTTAGGCTTAATTATAGGACTAAGTGATGCAATATTTGCGATGGTATGGTTGAAATAATCACCAAAATAATTGTAGATTATGCCAAAACTATTTTAAATAATTAATTAATATATTTTTATTTTAAAGAGCAAAATATTACTATTGCAAAAACTAGGTGCCCTATGATGGCCATAAGTACAGTAGTGGTCCAACGTTGAGTATGTTTCATTTATATAATTTTTTTGATTTAATATTTTTTTTACATTTATTCATACAGTTCATAATGTAGATATTCTTTTAGGCATTGGCTTGAGTGGTACTTATGTGACAACCAAAACTAGGGTTCATTACAAAATTAGTGTTGAACCAACATTGTTTTGTATCATTAGTTATCCAACAACAGTAACATAGATAATGTAAAGTATTACTAAGCTTATGCACTCCCACCAATAAATATACTCATCCCAAATAATAAAAAGAGTAAATGTGATCGCTGTAGAAAAAGAGATCACGGAATGGAACTTTTGTAAAATGAAATGGTGTTATGACTAATGAAATAGGCCATGGAACCAGCGATTACAGACGTTATAAAATTTGCAGCACCGATAAGTTCACTGACAGCTAAATAACCAGAATCGTGTATTATCGCGCTAAAAGTGCTAAAAAGATCCAGTGACCCATTACTAAATACTAGAAAAGTCACTCTAGACTTTATTATTCGTTAAGTAAATTAAGTATTGCAGAATTACACTTAATAATTCAATCTTATAATTAAGTAATATTTTAATATTTATTATACCATACTTTCGGAAAGCTTCAATTTGAATGCAATTATACTTAGATTTGGGCAAAAAAAAAAATCAGATGCCACAACACTAACAAAGCCGAACAAGAAAAGGAGCCTTATTATTTATTTAATGAATAAATAAATAAGTGTATCGATGGTCGAGAAGTAAAATGAATTGAAATTATAAGTTATATTCTTACCAGAATGAATACACCAGTTAATATGATCGCACTGAGTAATTTAAAAAGTTTAATTTTATTAATAACATATGCTGATAATTTTAAAAGCAATTATGCCTTGAA